TATGGATTTGAAGTTGTACTTTAAATTGGTCCCAGGTAAGGAACAACAGTGAGGTAGTGAGATAACTATAACAGCTGAAGTCTCTTGTTTCAAATGTTATTGCCCAGGGTATTAAATAGTGATTTTACATTAGTTGACCAAGTTATTGCAGTTATGGTGCCGCATTGTAAAATCTGGTGGCAGCAGGGATGAATGACCTGTGGTAGGGTTAGTGCTTCTTTTTACAAACGGAATGTAAGAGTCTTTCACTAAAGGAGCTGCTCAGCTCCTCTACAGTCTGGTGCAGGGAGTGAAATGTGTTGTCCATGATGGATGTAAACTTGGACAGCAACCTCCTCTCAGCTACTTCCTCCAACGAGTCCAGAGTGCAGCCCAGGACAGAAATGGCCTTTTTCACCAGCTTATTCAGTTTCTTTCTATCCCGCTCTGCGCTGCCAGGGGCCCAGCAGACCACAGCGTAAAGGAGGGCTGAAGCCACCACAGAGTCATAGAAGGTTTTAAGCAGGGGCCTGCTCACTCCAAAGGACCTCAGCTTCCTCAGGAGGTGGAGGCGACTCTTGGCGTTCTTGTACAGGATTCCGGTCCAGTTTATTATTGTCATGAACACCCAGGTTTTTGGATTGTCATGGGGGAGTGAGGTGGTTATGTTTGTTATGAGGTTGTTTTGTAGGCATAACGATTAGAAAATTGTTCTAAAATATTTTAAAGGGAGGCGTTATAATATTAAAAAATGCTCTAGTGATGAAGAGTTGTGTTTATATCTGCAAAACACTTAATTTTGAATTTTAAGATTTTTGAGAATAAAAAAAACAATATGAAGAAAATCTAAACGAAAGTTTTGGATTGCAGATAAATATGAGACAGAATCCTTTACAAACCACTGAGCTTTTTTACCAGCAGATGGCAGAGGGGATCCACTGATTCTTTATACCATCCATGCTTTACACTGATTTGTTTTTGATGTTTCTTTTTGATCATATGCGGATTATTCTTGTACAGTGTAGCATTGTAATTCAAGTTTGTCTCATCTGATCCCTCATCTGGTTAAAAACCAAACGGAAGATTCAGGAGAGAGCTGAACTAATGGGTGTGAAAGCCAACTGATTTGTCAGCGAGAGCTGAGGTGAGAAAAGTATGTGAGGAGAGAGAGAGAAAAAAAAGAGGAAGCAGGAGGAGGAGGAAACTTCTGACCACAAGGGCAATTACCTGCACTGGCGTGCCAAAAGCCTCATAAAACCCGAGTCAACAACAGGGTCGTGTTAAGTTGTGTGTCTGTGGGGGTGTCTAATGAGGACACACAACCATTTAGGCATTGAACAAATTAAAGCACGCATGGGAACGGATAATGACTGACTTCTTGGCTCGATGTTTTCTCAACTTAAATGTAAAATGTCTGGTATCCTTGTCCTCAAATTAGACTTATGTGATGTCAGAATCGTTCACATATACAGGAAGCTGAAATCAAAGTCTAAATATGATTTATTTTAACCTTATTAACTCTTTTATGCCATTATAGATTTGTTTTCCTAGAATTACCTCTGGCTCTTTGTGTTTGCCAATAGAACTTAATGCTGCTTGGAGCCACAGCCATAGAGGACCGTCTGCAGGCCGGCGTCCCAGACACAATCGCCACGTTGATGAGGGCCGGCATCAAGATCTGGGTACTTACTGGAGACAAACAAGAGACCGCCATTAATATAGGTGAGAGGAAAATGACCAAATAAAAGCACTGATGCAATTATAGAGTGTTGTGTTTAAATAAAAAAAAAATTTTTCCCATCATTTTTTTTTCATATACTTTTTTCAGATGTTTTAGACTCTTTTGCAGATTTCCTGCTTGTTCAGTCTTTGTTTCTGACATTTAATTTAAGGGAGCTTGCTGAAAAATTAACAAGTACAGGACAGAAAATAAACAATTGATCATGCCTCAGATCTTGGAATGTTTTTCTTGTTTTGTGGTCAGATTCTGTTCAGAAAAAGAGAACAAACGTTTGTCTAAAAATGGCCAATTAGTAGTGAACTGGAAAAGAACGTAAAGTCCCCTTTAAAGAAAACCTGAATCAATATTGTTCTAAACCGGTTTGTAATATTCTAAGAAGTGTTAGGGGGCTTAAAAACTCCAAAAACTACAGAATTTTGATCCTGTGATGCATTTTTAATATGGGGAGTATTTATTTATTTATTTATTTATTTGACTAAAAAACGAGTGTTCAGTGTGAGTAGGATCATTAATGTCACTTTAAAATATCGTGCTTAAAATGGATTACATGCAAATATATACTGCTTCTCTGCAAAGGGTATTTCTGTGACTTTGGTATAGAGTATGACTGCCGTGCAAATCATTTTTATTCCTTTTTGCATCCCTTCGGGTGGTTTAACTTAATCTAGACTCAAAGATTGTATTGTACAGTGGGGTGAACATAATTCTGAATTTGAAAAAAATATGTACCAGCACACAACGGTAGTTTTCTCTGCCTGCAGGTTTTATTTCATGTTTTTTTTTTTTTTTTTATGTTATACCCATAGAGCTGAAGGGAGCAAATAAGGAGCAAGGAGCAGGATTCATTCAGGAAGAGGTGTTTCTGCTGGAGTCATTAAATCAGACTGCAGAAACGTATTTTGGGGAGAAACAAAGCAAGATTGTAAGCAGGCTGCCTTTAGCGTGAGAGCAAAATCTCATTAGAGAGCAACAAGCATCCAAGAGTCAAAAACAAGAAATTTTGTTCTCAAATTGAAAATTGAGGAAATTTGTAATAATGTCCAGGAAACGAAATCTGAGCCAACCCTTTCATCTTCAAAATTCAAAGCCCGTGACACCCACACACCACCAATTTCAACATAAAAAACAAATGATAATAAAGAAATAATTGTGTTTCTGTAAATGTTAGATTTCCAAGTAGACCGTTGCATTAAAAACCAAACGCAAATGGGAAAAAATAACATTTTAAGTTGAATGTTTTGTGAATTTTGACAAAAGTGTTGTTGTTTTTTTTGTTCAGAAAAGGTTTGATTCATGAATTTCCAGCCATCTGATCAGGAGCAACAGATAATTGAACTTATCCTCAATTTAAGTCTCCACTGATTTTTCTGCATCTGGACATAAAGTTTCAAATCCTCTTCGAATTCAGGAGGGTGTACCTTCTCTTTACCTTCACATTGTTTGATCAGAGGTTGAGTTGATCTGAGTGGTGCTCTGTTTTGTATCTTAGTAAACCCAATCCCTCTCCCATCCTCCTCTCTCCCCTCTGCTGTATTGTCTCTCAGGTTACTCCTGTCGCCTGGTGACACACGGCATGTCCCTCATCATTGTCAACGAGGACTCTCTCGATGTGAGTAAACCCTCCTCCTCTTCTTCTTCCTGGCGGCCTCCTGCGCTTGCATCACTTTGTTTATCACTTGGGGACTTTGGTGTGTTCCCATGGGAGGAAGTTATGTGGTGGGGTGTTTCTTAACCAGGTTACTGTGAGAACTGGGGTGTGGTCTGCGGTCAAATTGGTGGGTGGGACTCTTTGTGTGTTTGCAGGTGGAGGTAATTAAAGTCTCTGATGTCTCCTTTGAGAAATGGAGATGAGCTCTTTACTATCACAAGAAAAAACACAATTATTCTCTGATCTAATTGAATTCCAGCAATATGTCTGCATATTTTTTGGGTTTGATATTTAGTTAGTTATTAACACTTATTCTTCTTGTATTTTTAAAGGTATAGTGGTGGATTTTTGTGAATTTTTGACAAGACCATCTTTAAAAAAAAAATTGCTCATGCACAACCCTGTACCCACTCCCAAGAGAGAGTGGGTACAGTGAGCGTGCACGAGCCCATTTCTCCTTGTGCAGGCTGTTTAAAAGTTGCTGTTTGCTGATACAAGCTAACTTTCAAAAAGAACATTTGCAATTTTTCCACTATGTCCAAGTCACCACAGGTAAGTGAAAATGGGGACGAGCACATAGGACGTTCCTTTTCTCTCAGCTCTCTTTCCACCACCACAAACTGCCGTCTGCATTATAGCAGGAGCCGCACTGATCCGTCTATCAATCTCCTGCCTCCTTCTCCCCTCACTCCTGAACAGGACCCCAACATACTTGAGCTCCTCCACTTGAGGCAGGAACCCAAAGGGTACAAGCCACCCTTTCCTGGGTGAGAACTATGGCCTTAGACTTGGAGAAGCTCATCTTCATAGAGGCCACTCTGCAAACTGCAAACTGCATGCTGTTGGTCTTGGCAGAATGGAGCCAGAAGAATCTCATCATTTGCAAAAAGCCAGGAGCTCTAGGCTGCGCCTAGAAATCCTGTCTATAAAGGATATAAACCGGACCGGTGACAGAGGGCAGCATGCACTAGGAACAGATCCGACTTAGCGTCAGCAATGCAGACCAGACTCCTGCTCTGCTTGTACAGAGACCGGATGGTCTCTAGTAAAGGGTGCCTGCTGACTTCATAGTTTTGTAAATTTCCACTTGTGGACATTCATATGTCCTTGGTTTAAAAAAAAGGGTTTTTAGCCCCTCTTTTTCTGCACTAATGCATTAGTATGTGCATGGGTATCAGTTTGTGGGCCCAAAGTGTGTCTTAAAGCGAAAAATTAAGATGAGGTCTACGCTTAATTTGTAATTTTCCTTGCTTCTGCGCCTCAGTTGGTGGGCATCCTGATCTGCTTGTAGAGTAATTGCATTACCTGGGAGCATGGTCAGCATGATCCCTTTATATGATTAACAGGGGAGCTCATTTGAGCACCACGCAATTAATTTGGTCATGATTACTGGTCTAATTGCAAACTGGTGCTATCATTTCTTTTATTCCTGCATTCGGCCAGATTAATGGACTATTTGTGAAATTTGACACTTAATGAAAGCAATGCCCTGAGGTTCCCAGGGTTAAAGGAATGCAAAGACACCGAAAGGCCGAGTAAACTGAGTTGGCCACTATGAAAATGTTATTTTTTCAGTAAATATAGTTAATAAAACCTTTTAGTTTCGGCTAAACTGACGCAACTTTTGCTCTAGTCTGATCAATCATATGTTTATATATATATATTTCTTTTTTAGTTCTGATATACTAAGAGTTTGATCATTGCTGTATGGTTAATAGCTAATGTGAAGGAGCTTGGGTAAGATGGTGAATAAATATTGTTCCTGTTTATTATTGACATGTTCAGCAGGGATTATAAACCTGATTGCTCAGGAATTAAGTTATATTTATGTTTTGCAGGTATAACAAAGAAACTGTTTTCATACAGAGGAAGAATCATCTTGAATGGTTGAGTGGCTGCATATGAAGTCTGCGGCGTAAACACAGAGAATTGAATTCATTACATTTCATGGAACTGTGAAGACGAGGACGTTTCTTTATTTCTTCCATGTAGTTTATCCAAAGCAGCTGCAAACGTGACAAACAGTTGGATCAGATTCAAGAAACCTCAACAATAAGGCTAGGAGTGGACAGTGAGTTGATCTAATTCCATTTGATTCAAGAAAGCTTTATAGTGATATTCTGAGAAAAGATTTCTTAGAAATCATAGATTTCAACAGAGGCAGAAAAAAAGCAGGCATCCATGTGGTGTTAATCCTGCTTGTCTACCGGGACGACTTCAGAGAGCTCTTGATGTGCGTGATGAAGATGAAAGCCATGCCATCCTCAGCTTAACACTTATCTGCCATTCACTTAAAATAACTCGCACCAGGTCCACTTTCTTTACACATGTGGGCCTGTTTGAAGGCCTGACCTGCACATGAGTGAAAACAGAAGCTGCTTATCAAAATCACTCCTCAAGGTTGACCTTTAGCTGCCATTTGTATCAGGCGCTGGAACATCACTGGGGATGTTTTGGACTTGAGTGTGTCAGCGTTTAAAGAGATCAAGAAAAACTGCGATCTGTGGTCCGCTTTTTTTTTTTTTTCCTTTGGTGGATGGATTTTGACTGAACTTCATTATTATTTTATTTAACTTTACAGATTTGTGCTTGAAGTTCCATCAGAATATATATTGATCTATAATAAAGCGTTAAACCAATCGGTTATAATCTCAAAATGTAGTTTGCATAAAAAATCTTTCATCGCTTGATTGATGTATTCATATTTCTCAAGATTAACATTGAAAGATGATCTACGGTAAAATTAATACATCAGTTGATGATGATAAAACCATTAGGAACTGGTAGCCGACATTATGAGGTGCTTATATTTATTATTAAAACCACTAAGCTCTACCAAATAATGACCGGACTTTGCTACCGAAGCAAACCTAAAAAAATCTAAAATAAAACACCAAGAACTGCAGTTCTATCGGGGGATGATTGGAGAAATCAGCTTTCAAAATGCAATTAATCTGAATGAGGAATCTAGCCGTCATAAAGATGTAAATAATTCCTCAGGAGTCTAAGGAATTAAAGGTATAGTGGAGGATTTTCGCAAATTTCTGAAGAGACCCGCCCTCTCCACTTAAACAAAGTAAAATGCACATGCACAACCCTATACCCGCTCCTTATTAAACATGTTCGAGAGCATGCATGAGCTCATATCTCCTCAAGAAGGTGCAGGGACGCGATGATAAGACAGTTGCTCGGATGGATGTCATCTCACAAATATTTATATAAAAGTTTCCCTGCAAATAAGGCTATTTGAACATTAAAAAAAGTCATGACATGTTTGTATGTGTGTGTGCTGCAGTGGAAATTTGGACATGTTTGCAGGATAAACCGTACTAACGATGCAAATTACAAAATAAACTTATCTTCCCCGGAAAGTTACAATATAGAGGTAGATAACTTTTACTAGTAGTGATGTGAAATGGATTTCTGGAAACTTTGCAACGGCTGCATCAGTGGGAAGCCCAACCTGTGCTTTCATTGTACGCCATCGCGAGAAAGAATCTCCCAAAAACAGTATTTTCTTGTTTCTCTCTTCTGAGGCCTTTCTCTTCTTCTCAAACACTTTGTAGACACTTTTTCTCTTACAATATCAGCCATTATCAAAGGACTGTGGTGTGAAAGGTAAATTGAATGAATGTCTGAAACCGTAGCTCGCCACATAAAAGTTTGCATGTGCAGAAAAAGCTAACTGAGGACTGCGTTATGTAAACATATCAAAATGATTGAAATTAGGAGGACCACTTATTTAGATGATCCACCTGGAAAATTAATATCCTCCACTATACCTTTAAGTTTATGGCCTTGTTTTAGATCTTATACTCAGCATTACTCTGTGAGGGGCCTATTCAGTCTTTATTTGCACATTGGTTATAGATGTGTAAAGTCTCTCTACTTTAGATTAAATTCATGTAGTGTTCTTGAAATAAGCTACTAACTAATACAGGATCCATGGTCAGTGCAGTAAAACAACAGAAAAATCCTGTGGGATTCCCCCCCGTCCTGCCAATATTTTTGGCCCAATTCTTGAAGCCGATATTGCTTTTTCCTTCTCCGTTCACATGATACAATGACACAATGATGAAAAAAGTTAAACAAGTCTCAATTTAAATAAAAGAAAGAAACATTTATTATCAAATCAAAGACAAAAACAAATGCAGGAAAGGCCAACAAATGAGCTTCCCACTGAATCCATAATGAATCGGCCAAATGATGATGTCATTTAATCGATTAAAAAGACAGGTTCACATCCAAGCTTCGATTGACTTCATCTGCATCTTTCAAATCCTCTTTCTGCAAATTATTTTCATTCATTCATTGTCATGAAAAAATTATAAAACAAAAAAATGAAGTTTTGTTCTCTTTAGTCCTTTTCCATCATCATGATTTACTTTTTGTTTGCAGGATCTATATCACTTATGGGCTTAAAGGATAGTTTAAGTCCATACCTGTGACCATAACTATGGAAAGCTGCATATTTAAGCATGGCATCAATAATATACTTTTAGCTGACAAACTGTTGCATGAAAGCATTCCTTTGCATTGGTTATCTGTGCTGTGGTTTATCATCCAGATCCTCCTTCTGACCAGAAAAGGCTCTCCTCTACATGCATCCTCCTCACGCTGCTGTCTGCACATCTGTCAGCATGCTCTTTATGCTCAGGAAGCGACCACACAGCCTGTGTGCTTTGTGGTAGGGGAAAAAAATGACTTAAGAGGAGCAGAAAACAGGAAGAATATATGCATGTTTATCTTTTGGGAGACAAAGAAGTGGGTTTGTGGATAAAGCAGTGGAGACTGTTTATTTGGTTTCATCTGGGAGATGGACAATCTGGAAAGAGTCTGAGTGGAGGTGTTTTACTGGCCCATTTGAGGGTGATGAAAGAGCAGTAATGCAGTCTCCTTTTGGTGCTCCTCCTCACCAAAACAAAACCCTGGGACCAGTGCCTGCTGGCTAAATGTTTTGC